TTCAATGCATTCGATGCTTCGCTCATGTCATACAACATTTTTTGGCTATTTTTGATTTTGTAAACACTCGATACTTCCAAATTGCGTTGCTGCTTGAGTGCCTCCTTGTATTCGCTGTGGAGACCCAAAATGGAACGGTAATTAAGTTTCGAATGACAATTTAATGTAAGTTATTATTACACCGTAAATGAAATTCTATATACTAATTGGGTATAATTACAAAAAATCTGAATTTCGTATGAGAAAATATAGTTTTTTTTTTTTAACTTGGATGGAGTAAACTTTTGGGTACCGATTTGATTTAACAGGTACGCACTTAAAAGTTTCCCAGGGTAGCCACATCCCTACTGAAAAATGAACGAGAGAGAGTCAATCCCTGTACGAAAGTAAAACAGTTTATAATAACATATGTCGTCATCTAAATTTACAGACAATTTTCAGAATCTAATTATGAGATCACGATAAAAGCTGTTAACGCATTTTCGTTCTTGACTAAGTACTCTATTTTCCAACTTCCTTTAATAGAGGATTACTCCTCAACCTGGACTAGCTTAACTGGACAATTTTGCCTACATCGAATTGATACTGCTGCAACAGCCGGATTATAGGTCTGTTAAGTTTAAGAAATACATAATTCCGTTGTACTCCAGCTTACTAACCGATAGGTTTGTATGTTCCCCAAATTCCTATTGGACTTCTCATCGTTTCTGCCATTTTGTGCCCCAGCAATGTGTTGGTAATGCTCCATCATAGCATCCTCTTGGTCCGGTGATGAGCCATTACTCCCATTATTACTGCCATTACTGGAATTCGAATGCGCATAGTTTATATGTTGGTGTTGTTGCTGCGCCGACGAATGCTGGTGCTGCGGAGTAACGGGTGCTGATTGCACTGTCGCCACTTGCACTGTATCCACTATACGTTTCGTTGGCGATTCAGTCGCATTAAGTGGCTTCACAACAGCCGCCGTTGGTGCTACCACACCACTACCTGTGCTCGAGACATTAGCTGACAACGATATTGACTCATCAACAATTGTGCTTGAACTGGATGTAAGCGATGCATCCATCAATTCTGAACTCAATGAGGGAGGCGGTGTTGTCGGGGTTTTACGTGCTGGCGAGTCCAATTTGGATTTAACTGTAAGTTGAACACAGGAAGTGAGTAAGTGAGCAGTGATTAGTAGTTGATCGAATTGCAATGCAAAACAATTGTTTCTACAGTTGAGTATGTTTGTTTGTTAATGTATTATTTGTGTATGCTTGTGTGTGTGTGTGTGTGTGCATTAAATACCATTTGGCATATCGTGTGACCAACGCTTATCAATGCCATCACAGGTGCTATAACCGGACTCAACGCCATGATGTCGCGGCACACGATTCGATTCGAGTACGCTGCCATTGCCAGCATGGCGTGGCGCGCGTCGCAATGTAGTGTAACCATCATAGTTGCCACCGGCACGTGAGCCCTTCTCATCTTTGGCCGCTTGAGTTTCGAGAAATTTAAAGACATGTACGAGACCGCGAACACAGAGCTGTATGGAGGAAGAAAGTAGAAATCGGGCATTTAGAAGCATTTATAAGTACTACATGCATACATGGCGATGAATTTAAAATCGTGCTTGTAGAAAGTGTAGCTAATGCGACGAGTAATATTTCAAATGTGGACTTACACTAGCAGGCGGAGATGTAAGCGGATTATTTTCCAGATTCAATTCGACCAATGCGGTCATTTGGCGTATCTCCAGAGGTAGACTAGCGATGCGATTATTGCTGACATCCAACGACTCCAGCGTTAGGCAGGTCAATTCTGTAAAAATTAGAAAAATTATTCAGCTAAATGTTTATAAAAACGATTTTCAATTTTTAATTTTAAAAACAGAATTTTAAGAGCAAAAATAGTATGCTTTGGTAAATCTTTAAAACGTAAATCCAACTCCAACTCTGAGATAAAAAAGCGGCAAAATTTGTTTGAAAATACTTATATGTTTTTTCGTATGTATGTATGTATAAGACCAAACCACCTTACAAGCAAACAAAAAAAGCTCGCGATGTTGAGAGATTTTGGTGAGTAATACTGGAGTGACAGACCTTGGTCAAATATAAATATGGGATGTTCCGGTTACGTAAACCCGACTGTCGTGGGAACGAGAAGTTCGCCGTACACGCCCTTAAGTACTTTTGTCAGGCAATATCGAGGAAAAAAATATATATTTTTTTTACGAAGCCTAGGGGGACCCTTTTATATTTTTCGGTTACACCTACAGTCGGCAATAAAAACATTTTTTTTTTTATACCCGAGCGCACTTGTGCACAAGGGTATTATAACTTTGTTCACATAACGGTTGTTTGTAACAGGCAAAACGAATCGAGATAGATATAGACAAATGTATACATAAATGATCAGAATGAAAAGAGAAATCGATTAAGCGGTGACTGTCTGTCCGTCCGTCCGTCCGTCTGTGCACACGATAACTCGAGTAAAAATTGAGATATCTTAACGAAACTTGGTACGTGAACTTCTTTTGGGCGTAGGACGGATGGTATTGAAAATGGGCGAAATCGGAAAGTAACCACGCCTACCTCCCATATAACGGTAATTTTAAGAAATACGAAAACTGCGATATTTTAGTAACTACTGAAGATAATTCACTCAAAATTGATACTTACAATGAATTTCAGACGGAAAACATGAATATTGTAAATTTTTGGAAAATGGGCGTAGCCACGCCCACTTATGGTTACATGTGTATATCTTGGTAACCGCTGCACCAATTTCTTCCAAACTTGGCACAGTTGTTGGCCTTAGTACAGCATACTAAATGGCTGAAAATTTTACAAAATCGGACAATAACCACGCCTACCTCCCATATAACGGTAATTTTCAGAAAAATGGAAACTGCGATATTTTAGTAACTACTGAAGATAATTCACTCAAAATTGATATTTGCAATGAGTTTTACACGAAAAATAAGAATATTAAAAAATTTTGGCAAATGGGCGTAGCCACGCCCACTTATGGTTACATGTGTATATCTTGGTAACCGCTACACCAATTTCTTCCAAACTTGGCACAGTTGTTGGTCCTGGTACAACATACCAAATGGCAGAAAATTTCTAAAATGACAATAACCACGCCCACATCCCATATAACGGTAATTTCGAGAAATACAAAATCTTCGATAAATCAGTAAATATTGAAGCTAATTTATTCAAAATTGATGGTTGCAACAATTCTTTCCCAAGAAATACGTTTATGACAAAATTTTGGAAAATGGGCGTAGCACCGCCCACTTGTGATCACATATATGTATCTCGCTAACCGTTCTAGCAATTTGTACCAAGCTCGGTATGGTTATTGTGCTTGCCACATAAAAGCAAACCGTTGAAAATTGTTGAAATCGGACTAAAATTGAGGCCGCTTTTCATATAACGGTAAATTTCAAAAGTGCTTGAAATTTCAATATTTCGAAATTTAAGGACGCTAATTTACTTAAAATGTATACACCCCGGCTTATCATGTAGCGGTAGCTTTCGGAAAGGTGGAAAACATATATTTAATACTTGCGCCGGGTATTTAATGTTCGGCTCCGCCCGAACTTAGACTTTCTTACTTGTTAATAGTTCTACTAGAATAATCAAAAAACTTCCTTAGCAAAAGGTTAATGATTTTTGGAGAGCTTCAATTTACTGCCATTAGGGTGGTACGTAACGGTGATAAGAACTGATATCTGGTGGGCAAGTACTAGAACGCGGTACTGGAGGTCAATGAACTTTGTCTTCTCGAGACAAGAACATCGATATGTCATACTTCAAAATCCGACTGTAAATGCCGAAGATATAACGAAAAATGTAAAAAGGAAACACCTACCGTTGAGCAAAAAAAAAAAATATTTTCGAATATTGTCTTGCAAAAAAAAATTAGACTCAGAAGTGTACCGCGAACTCTTTTTTCTAGGTAAAGTACAAGTGCACTTCGTAGTGACCTGGGAACATATTTGCAGGTTTAAGTCTCTTCTGGATAGTTTACGTAGAGTCACCCCACTTCCTCCCACTTTATAGTCACCAAGAACGAGTTCAAAAACTCTGTTGTTGCCTCTGCATATTTCTTATTTCACTCTACATATAAAGCCGCTGTCTCCGCTGATGCTGTAGAATACTCCGAAAACAACATTTTAATCTCAAGTTGTGACTGTCGGAGTAGCGCGATCAAAACGATATACAAGTGCTTTCTGTCAAAAGAGCTTTTCATTGTGCAAGTTGGCAAGTGAACTTTTTTGTAAGACTATCTGAGGCAGAATTTCCCTGTAAGTCTACTTAAAACGCATCAGACGCCTAAAAATTCCATAAGGGATCGTTTACAATGCCGATTTGGAGTTGAGAGTGGAGCGTATTTCCTTAATATTTTTATGCTTTTAGTACCAGCTTAGAGTGCAGTTTTACTTTCTTAGTTACCTAAATATGTATTTTTTGTGCTTCAAGTCCAACGCACTCCACGCTAATATATAAACAGAGAACTCAACTCCACGCTAACATTGTAAACGCTCCTTAAACATCTGCAAATTTAATTTTCCATCGATGAAGTATACAAAACACTTCTTTATTGGAGTAATCACCCACAAAACAAAAAAACACAAAAAAACAAAATCCCCCTTCATTACTCACCACGCGGTAAATACATCAACTGATTGCTGCGCAGCGAAAATGAACGCAACGAACGCAGCTCGCCAATACGCGCCGGCAGCGTTGACAACTGATTGTATGAGGCATCCAAATCGGTGAGGCGGTCCATGCGCCCCAACTCGTCGGGCAATGCCGCCAGCCGGTTGTTGGAAACCAGCAACACTTGCAGCGGCAGAAAGCAGATCTCGCGCGGCAGCGACGCCAACTGATTGCTGCGCAAATCCAAATATGTCAACGATGTCAGATGCTTCACCGATTCGGGAATGCTGCGTATGGTATTGTGGTAGAGCAGTAGCGTCTCCAGAAACGAGAATGTGGTGATCTCCTCGGGTAGCTCGCAAAAGCGATTACGCGATAAATCTGTTGGAAGAAAAATAAGAAAAATAAATAAATAAATACAAATTAGTAGGAATTATGTACATATGGATGTATGTATGTACAAATATATATTGCAAAAAAATAAAAGTTGAGTTTTTAAAAATGGAGAAGAGCGCGCAAAAGGGCAGATGAGCTGATAATTCAATTGAAAAGCGTGAAGAACTGAATTACGCCAAGTGAAATGGATTTGCATGCAATGTGCGATTCAAGCGAAGTTGCTGTAAACGCGTGGCTGCCAGCCGTTCGCGTTTTTGCTTATCTTTTTTTTTAGGAATTTTTCAAATTAATCAACGGCTGGCTGCCAAATGCCGGCAGACTACTGGTAGGCAAGCGAGCTTATTATTATTTTATTTTGCCTTAATTTTCTTGCTTTGTTTTGGTTTATCTTGTCACATTTTGATAGGTTCTTGTTTTTCTTGCTTTACTTTTGTTTCCATTTCATTATCTATTGTTTTATGTATATACGTATTTGTTTTATTATTCGAACAAAGTTGTTTATTATTTTTGTCTTCCCCTCGAGTCAGCCTCGCCCCTTTTCTACATTATGCAACTCTGCCTTCAATGCTTCACCGCAGCTTGCTTGCTTGCTTGCCCAGTCTGCCTACCCTCTGCCCTCCCTCACTAGGTGCCACGCCTGCTTGCTTCACCACAGCTGTCTGCTGCTGAATGCACATTTCGTAGAAACGCACATGGAAGCCGTCGTCGTCGTCGTCGTCGTCGAATGCATTGCAGTTGATATAGTAAATATGGGGGAAATAGCTTAGTACGTGCTGACAACTGCGTGGCCTATTTCTGTTGATACTCGCACACACGCACACATACACACACACACAATCATATAAGTATGCCTTTGCACACATGTCGCCGTCGTACATACATACATACATGAGCACTCCCTATTACATTTCGCATGTTGCAAGTCGCTTACGAAAACCGGCTGGTTTTCATGGGGAAAATTACATAGCCGCATTAGCACGTTTGAATGATTTTTCCATTCCATTCAATTGCGTTGCAAACAAAACAAAAACAAAATATGTATAAACAAGTCGCAGCAGGGCTGCATCAATGCCCAACTTTTTGTTTTACCTTTTTGTAATAGAGCAGTCCCTTTTTGTTGTTATATAAAAATATAAATTAATTTTTTTCATTGGTATTAAAGTTGCTTTACATTATTGAAGCGAAGCGCACTCGGCCTAAAAATATTGGCTTTGAAGAGAAAAAATGTGACAAATTGTAGGACCTAAATTCCATATTAATTCTGCTATTAATAAGCAACTTTAAAATAAAGTTCGAATGAAGATATTACGGTTCGTCGAACAGTACGATGAAATGGCGGTATGAAAGACCCTTAAACTCTCAAAATATATCTTCATCGCTGGGAAAAAAATTTTATGTTGCAAGGGAAAGTTGATATGAAAGAGATATGATATGATTGCATTATAGTGATGCACAGAACCGAGGAACCGGAACCGGGAAACCGGGTCCTTTAGAAAACCGACCAGTCCGGTTCTTACAAGAACCGAAAAACGGTTCTAACGGAGCGGAATAACCGAAACTCGACTCCAAAAGGACAGAAAAACTTTTCCGGAAGAACCGAAAATAGGTTCCGAAAGAACCGAAATTCCATTCCAAAAGAACCAAAAAAGGGTTTTGAAAGAATTGAAACTCGATCCCAAAAGAACCGAAAAACCGAAACTCGATTCCAAAAGAACCGAAGAAAGGTTCCGGAAGAACCGAAAAACAGTAACGAAAGAACCCAAAATGATTCCGGAAGAACCGAAACTCGATTCCAAAAGAACCGAAAGAGGGTTTCAGACAAACAGAAACTCGATTTTAAAAAAACCGAAAAACGGTCTCAGAGTAAACGAAAAAAATAAGCAAAAACAACTGTTCCAAAAGCACTGAAAACGGATCCTACAGAACCGAAAATCGGCCACGAAGCGCACATTCCACTATGGGCAAAAAATTATTGTTTTGGCATAAAGTCTATGTGTTATAGAGTTTTAAGTTGGCCTACCAAAGTTTGTTCGGTTCGAGGAACTATATCATATAGCCGCCATTTACACGATCTGGCCGACTTCGTTGTTTTTGATGTTATCGACTTGAAATTTGGTTTGTACTCATATTATGAAGTTCTGAGTTTACAACATTACTTTGTTTTATATGAAACCTTAACGTGGAAAACGCGCATTTTCTTAACACAATTATTAACCGAGTAATGAATGTGATATACATATTTATTTATTCCTTTACTTTACTTTATAACAAAAACATTTAAAAGAAATTGTTTGATCCTTTGTGCCTCCTTTCTCTGATATACTATCCGTGGTCCGTTTGTAAAAAAAAAAATTTGATCAAGTGTTATATGGAAGAAAATGCGCAACACCATCCATTAAAAAAAAATCTAAAAAATCTACAGTAATTTTGAACGGCTTGAAACTTGCACTTTCTTATACTACAATTGAATGGGCTACAAAACGACATACCCGAAAAGTTTCTAAATATTCTAATTAAAAAATTTTAAATTATGATGACAATTCTTTGAAGTTTAATTAATTTTTTTTTGCGATTTCGTCCATTAAACAGATGGGTGAAGGTTGTGCCCTATTCGGATCTTCTACTAAAATTTTTTTTTCTTTTTAATTCATATCTACTTCTCACAGTTTAGTGCCCCTAGAAAAGAAAAGAGGTTGATTTCCAAGATTTCAACTGAATTAATAAATTGCTCGAAATTAAATAATATTTCACTTGTTTTATGTGTATACAATTTTTTAGTACTATATTACATCCTTTCATCATGACAATCTATAATTTTTATGCAAAACATCTTGTAATATTCTGTGCACGGGCCCTCTTGAGAACTCCGGACCCGGGGAAAAAAATCCTCGATCACCCCGCCCCCTCTCGTCGGGCCTGCCTACGACGATAATCACATAGGGATATTTCTGTAGAAATTTTATATCCGACACCGACTTTGGTAATAACTTTCTTTTAGAAGATGCTTTCGAGAACGAGGAGGTCGCGTCCTTGATCTGGATCCCAAAGATGTTATTTCGAATCTCAACAGGTAATTTCGAGCCTTCCATATGCCAATTTAGGCAATGCATTTGTGTGTACTTTTTTTCCTAAATAGTGTTATTCCAACATCTTTTATTCCCATGTTTTAGCCTTTACTTAGTCTGTCTTCGGTTGTTTTTCGGCCGGCCTGTGTTTAACTATGGACCACTGAGGATATAAACTCTAGTAAACTAGGCACTTTAAGTGGTTAACTACAGACTGTGAACTCATTTCTTAACCTATTTTATTCTGGGTAAAACCTTTCAGAAACGGAAAAGTAAAGAAATGGTGCCTTGCATGAAGTTCAATTAGAATGGGAGAAGCTATTCTGAAAGAAACCATGATCTGATAAAGTAAAGCGTCGGTTAATAATTTTTACAAGCTTTTATTTAACTCGTTCATTTAATATACCGGTATCTTTACGGGAGGGACAACTCGATTTGAGGAAGAAGCAGAATATTTTTAGAATACTCGAATATAGGCCAATTGGAAATCTCTTCTGAGTCAACAATCCACAAACCTTTTTGGCCAATTATTTCCCTTGATATCAAATTCCAAAGTAGATGAAATATTTTAAATATTACTGAAGATTGTCTTATTCCAACTTTAATTAACTTTAATTGCCATAAAAGTTGTTTGAGTAAAGCCTTTAAAAATGCACGACTTTCCAAAACATTCCATTACTATCCTTGCTTCCACAATTTTTGTTCGCTACGGTGGCGTTGCAAAACCGCTGACAGGTTCGCACACATCGCATCGCTATTACCCAACTCTTGTCGTTGATTATGTGCTATGCTATGTACGATTATTTTAATAATGAAATAAGTAGTGCCGCAGCATGGTGGCAGCTTGCCGCAAAGTGGATGATGATACTCTTCGAGACTAAATGTGTAGCAGAAGAATAAAACAAGAGAATTTCCTGCTGTGCGGTGAATGCTTCCTGTATCATTTCATTTGCCATCAGAACAAAAACAAAACGCAAAACACAAAACACAAAAAAAAAGCAAGGCAAACGAACCGAACCGGTGGTGCACCATTGGCGCTGGTGTCCTACATTTTTCAGCTGTTCACATATTCAACCACACACCGCGCCCGACGACTGCTCTTGCTTGGCTGAATGGAACGGAATTCTATTTTTTTTTTGTGTTTTTGAGTTTTCACAAATGTTTGCATAAAAAAAAATACTAAAATACTTTCAATTCAGCATGCTTATGGTACTTGCAAATTTTCCAACAAAAGCGGCATATGACATGAGCTGCAGCTATCTATCCGCAATCCGCAATCCAATTTCCTCATTACAACTACTGCCAGGGATGGGATAGGGTTGCTGTGTGTCTAGTAGCAGGTGGAATCTTTATGACGCAACGAATACGCCAGCTCTCAGCATAGTTTCTAGTGGACGGTGTGCTATCGGAAAGACTTGCAGTTGAAAGTGGGTTCAGAAAGGGCGGCAGAGGCGGTGTAAACGAAAGAGCGGGTGGTTGGTTACCCACAAGGATGCTTCTATATACCTAAACTGCAACTCGACGTTTGTATTACTCCAAATTACTATCAACTACTCAAATGTGATTTATCAAACTGTGGCTGTGCTCCATCTGCTTTAAATTTACTTATAAACTGGCAAGTAAAACGTCTGACTGGCGAACTCTTTTGTTGTATTCTATGTTTAGCTTTTCTTCAGTACTTAGTGCATATACATATCGTATGTTAAGTATAAGTACATATGTATGTATGTAAGTGCAACGGAAAATGCATGAACTTCCGCCTGTTGGTTGTCGCTTTTACTATGTTATTGTTGCTGCCAGTTTTCCCAGCGCTTTTCCACACATTTTGTAGTACCAATGTTCCGATGTATACATATATACATTAGACTGCAGCACCAAAAAAAAGTTGCGGTTTTTCCGCCGGCAATACAAAACTTATAT